CACATTTCTTTTACCTTTTCTTCACTCAGAAGGGCAGCTATGCTCAAGCAGAGCACAGGGTAAGTTCACATTTGGGTACCCCACTTGTGCTTAACGTAACATGAACTCTGAACTCCCACAGCTGTTCAGCAAAATGCAGAAGTCCCCAAAAGAATCCCATGAAGACAAACAATACTATGATTCAAAAAAAAAAAAATTAACCAGAAGTCAGAGAAAAAATCAGAAATAAAGGGTTAAATTACAGGTCATCTTCAAGTTCTGAGAGCAGAACAGTGAATTACTATGCATGTTACTTTCCCTCTTCCAAAAGGTATCACCAGTACAAGATTCTTCCTCCCCAGTTATTTGAAAACTTCGGGAACATTCTCAGAAAAGCAAAATAAAGCTGTCAGCAGGAGAAGAATGGCAATGGCAGGAACTCAGTTTGGGACTTTTTAAATATTTATAAAAAAAAAAAAAACACTAGGCCTTGAAGTTCATTCCCTTACTGTGCTTCCACATCATGCTTGTGAAATCACTCATTAAAAAACAACTGTTACGGAGTATGTGGCTCCAAAAATACTTTCTGTCTACTTTGCCGAGATCCCTTTAATCCTCCGTAAGTATCTCTAATCTTTCAGTAGGAGATCAGAAATATCAAGGCTGTATGAATCCACAGTGCCTAGACAGAACGACCACATATAATTATTCAATAATAGGCCAAAATACCTACTAGTCACGTTCAGAGGAATTATTTAAAATTATCATTAGCAAGAAAAGCCTCATTTCAATCAGGTTTCACTATAAACTATTTTCCATGTTGCAGATTTTCAGGTAAGTATTTGGCAATGATGTAATTTTTTTACAAGCTCAATAAAGGAGATGCCACACAGAGGAAAAAAGGAGACGTCGCTTCACTCTCTGCTCTTCTCATCCACCAAGGACAAATATCCTTGTAAGCTATGGAAGAAACACCGATCTTGATTTAAGGTATTAGGACTGAGGAATGTAAGCACTGATGCCATTAAGGACCAATCACTCCAAAAGAGGGAGATGAGACGCAGTCTAAAAATAACATCAGGTGCCTCCTCAGAATGATGTATCATAACTAGGCACAAACCTGACTAAAGCCCGTTTCTTTGTCTCCTTCGCTCGTACTTTCTTCATGAGATGTTCCAGTTTCTCTGACTCCTTGGGCTGGATCCCAAGGTCCTCATCCTCTGCTACATTTATAATATCCCTGTAGAACAAAGAGATATCGAACCCTCCCGTCTTCTTCAAATGCATCAAGTCTAGGATGATTCCTAGAAACAAAGATAAGAGGAGGATCAGAAACTGCTTTTTTCTTGCATTATCACATTTCTCAGCACTCTCAGATTTCTTTATCTACCCAAATAACTTAAGCAGGAATAAGCTCCAAATTGTCATCTGTACCACATGCAAAATTTTCTAGGGAAAAAGGCAGAAGACATTCTTTAATTTCAGTGAAAATAATGCAGCACAGAAAATCATTCCTCCCTAATTAGGAACCTCGACCATATTGTGTCTGAGACAGCTCTGACAAGCTCCTATAAAACATAATCTTACCTCAAGCATTGAAGTAAGTAATGAGTTCAGAAAATCCCCTTTCCTTTAGTTATAAGGCCTCAGGATTAAGGAAGCCTCACAGCTACTAGATCCAGGAAATCTGCTGAACTCCGAAAACACTGGTTATCTCAGCTACACAGTTGAACTAATGAAGCAGTTGATGTCTAATCTCTGAGCTCAGGTTGATGTCCTTCAGCTAATTAAAAATGAAGCCATGAAAGTAATTTTTCTTTTGTGTTAACTTTGTGTTATTATTCCCTTCCTGGAAAACGGTACAACAAAAAGTTTGCTTCTCTCAGCCCTCTCATGTCCCAGTTTATGCTACCAAAGCAGAAGAAGAGATCCTAGAAATTAAGTGCTAGTTATTGGATAGCAGATGAGATAACAGATTTCTAATTTTTATACAGCTTCAGAAAGATTGCCCAGTTCTGGTGATTTTACATTCTTTTTCCATCACAAACATGCAATGCAGTTAACATCTGCTGCGAGGATATAACATGTTTATACTGCCTGAAAATTAAAGGGGAAAATAACGACCTGTGTCTCTCAGATCTCCAGCTCTGGTCCTGGCCAGCTTGGCTTTAGCACTGTCATTGGCATGAGGGTCATCCTCATTGGTGAAGAGCATGATCCTTTTGTGGCTCAGCCTCACTCGGACATCACTGAAGAGATTGGAGCAGGCCCAGAGCGCTTCCCCCAGGGAATAGTCAGCATTGTGGCCAAAGCTCTCGCGGAAAAGTGCTCGTCCTTCATCTCCCCTGTATTGGTCCAGCTCTAGAACACGCTTTGCACCTAAGGAGGGAACAGCACTCACATGCATTAGAAATACTGAAAGACGTATCACGAGTTCTTTTAAACATGCACCTTGGGGTCCCTCGTGTCTAATGTCCAAGTACTGACACCCTGACACCTCTGTGGCAGTGCCCCTGTAACACCTGGCTGAGAAAACTGTTCAGCATTGCCTCACATTTGCAGTATCACAAGCCGGTTACCACTTAAAGCACCTACGAGGGCCAAGACCACACAAAGTGGCCTGATACCATTGTGGACTCCTCCTTTTGGGAAGGGAAACAGACGGGGGTCAAAGTATTGCAAACCCTTCACACTGAAAGAACAAGGGTTCGGCAGGAAAGGCAGCAATAGCACCAGCTGCGGAGGCACAGCAGACTGCTGCCCCACCAGAGAAAGGAGAGGAGCCTGAAATACATCCGGCATCTCCACAGCATGCTGGGAAGGCGGAGCACTTCTCCTTCCTTGCCTCTCATGTCAGAGAGAATCTACACACAGGTCAGACACAGCCCATAGCTCACCACAGGGGCACAGCAATATTTAGGCCTTGTTACAGCTCTGAGGATTACTCCAGCCCAACGACTCCTTTTCCCACCTGCCTAACAGAACATTCTCTGTTTTCTCCCATTATGTTACAAAGGGAGCTACTGCATTTTGCAAACCTTTGTCATTCACTTAAACTCTATAGCACTTCTGAAACCTCATCTGAAAATGTCTTTCCCTCTCTTTACAATTTATTTTCATCTCCTCAGCTGCCCTTTAATTATTAGTATAAGTGTTCATAATTATGTAATAACTAATTCTAGTATTTCTTCCTTCTCCAGAGCACACTGCTCTCCAGGGGCAGGAAATATACAATTCTCTTCCTTTTTGACAGCACCCACCTTTCACCTGTGCTGTTTTTATCAGCATGGTGAGACTACTGCTTCTGAGAGTGGGAAAAGAACAAGCAGGGAAGGAGGAGGAAAAAGGATGAACAAGAAGCATAAGGCAGTTTCCTGCCCCTGTGTCATTAAACCTGCACCCCATAATTAAGACAATTAAATTAAACCTCCTCAGAGATAAAGGCTGCTATTAAAAGTGGTAGACAAAATCCCCCCACAAGACTCCACCATCAAGAGAATCTGTCACCACTAGCATGCGCTTCTCTGCACTCCTCCTACTGCCTTTTCCAATTCAGCAATTGGCACTTGTTATCAAGCATATGCTATGTCATTCTAAGAAAATGAAAGAGTAAAATTTGAGAATTGCAGAACTTATGAAAACAAGAGATGGAACACCCCAAACAGGTCAGCACGTTGGACAACCTGTTCTAGCTGACCCTGTGGGGCAGGAGGGTTGGAAATCCCATCCAATCTCAGCCATTCTGTGTTACTCATCACCAACTGGAATCCATGTGCCTTAGCATGGACATGCACTTTTCTGAAGTGCAGTAAACACGTGACTGGCTTTTATGAGTTCTCTTGAGATCCTCCTAGGTTTAGCAGACAGCAAGTGAACACCATGTTAAAAAAGAAGACACAGAAAAAGGATCTGAACCAACTACAAGAGAAAAATCTAAACTCTCACAAAGTTTCTAAGATTTACACAAATTTCTAAATCTAACTCCACTGTCGCCAACAAATTTCAGTAACAAGAACTTACTTGTCCAGTAACTCTGATTTTAAAGAGATCAGTTACCGACAATGCTACCGCTACACAGATTTCCTTACACCACCTTTACACACCTTCATATCACGTTACCTGGATTGTCCAGCTCCTGAAGAACATAGACGTGCTTGAAATCTGCTGAGTTCTTGTTCTTTTCTGTACCATAGAACACGACACTTAACAGGTCCCTGTCACTACTGATAATTTTGCTGGTATACACATTCCGGATGCACTAAAAAAAAAAAAAACGTACACACGGCAAAATATGAAAAAAGTAACTTGCAGTAAAGGGTGCGAAAGTTCTGTCTTTGCCAAGTAGCAGCTCATCGAAGCTTACCTGCATGGTCATGTCGAAGGGAGTCTCTGCGTCCCCGTCGGATTCAAACATGGCCTTGGAGGCATCCACCAAGAAGATGAGGCTGTCCCGGCCCGCGAACCTATGGTCCGCTACAGAACGGGGGAAAACAGTTTTAGCAGCGACCCCCTCCACCCGCGGACCCCCGAGGGCAGGCCCCCGGCTGCCCTCCGTGAGCGGGTGGGGGTCCCTTACCGACTGCCTCAGCCCCCTCCTCCTGCTGCTGCTGCTCCTCCTCCTCCTCGTCCTCGGCGCCCTCACCCCGGTAGAACGACCCCCAGCCCGCCATGGCTCCCACGGCACCGCCGCCCCACAGGCGCGCGTGGGTCGCGACACACGCAGCCCCCGCGACAGCAGGCCCCGCCCACTCCCGAACAACCGCCACTCACCGAGAGACCCCACCCACCGTAGCTACGCTGACCAATGGCGAGAGAGGAAAGGCGCCTCGCCCCGCCCCTCAAGCAGGAGACCACCCCTCCCTCCGCGCGGATTGGTTGCGGAGGGGACGCCGAGGGAGGGAGCTCCGCCCACGCTGCACTCGGCCCTGAGCCTCAGCCAATGACGGGAAGTCTTGTCCAGCCCCGCCCCCCGCCCTAGCTCCGCCCCCCGCAGAGCCCCTCAGTGACGGGGCGGCCCGGCCGGTGCGCGGTGGTTGCGCATGCGCACGGGCAGGGTCGCCCCTTCCGCCCCGTCTGTCACCTCCCGGCTGGTGCCGCCGCACCCGCCACCGGCACCGGCGCCGCCTGTTCCCCCGCTCTCCGCCGCTTCCCGGAGGGAAGGGCCGTTCCACCTTGCCTGCAGGGGCTCCGGTTGCCGCCCGGCGGCCGCGCCCGCGCCCCAATGGAGGAGCCACTGGCGCTGCACCCCGTGAAGCTCTATGTGTACGACCTGTCCAAGGGCATGGCCCGGCGCCTCAGCCCCCTCATGCTGGGTAAGAGCACGGCGGGCACCGGCGCCGCCCCGCCCCGCCGCCTCCCGGCCGCTCGCGTCCCGCACCGGCCGCTGCGGCCCGGCCTCACCGTGCCCGCTAACGGCGTCCAGCTCGCCGCCTCCAGCCCCGGGAGTGGCGATCCCCGCCCGGCATCGCGCTCCCGAGGGAGCGACCCGCCGGGAAAGGGCTCCCTGAGGGCGCACCGGGCGCTGCGGGGGTCGGCGGGCACGGCATCGCTCGGGGTGTGCGGAGCTTGCCCGGGGGCCGGTGCAGGGGCTCGGCGGGGTCTGGCTGCAGCCCCTGTCCCCGCTGTCAGGGACCGGCTCGACCGGTGCGGCAGCTAACAGCTGCGCTGGGTCCGCTCCCTTGTCTCGCATCTGCCCGTTACCGCTGCGCTGTGGTATTCACTAAAGGCGGACTAAAACTGTTCCTTAGCTCCTGAAGGGAGGGACAGCTCAGCTCCCGACGGCCCGGCTGCCGTGGCGCCTCGGCAGGAAGGCTGAGCTGGTGGAGGAAAGGCGGCCGCTGTTTACAAGGTTACAGAGTTCAAGCGGCTCCATGTTGTGGCGAGGCCGGGCTGGGCTGGCGATGCGCAGCCGTCCGTTCTCTCCTTCGGAAAGTTTGTAGGAGCTTGGTCTGTGTCTTGTCAAAAATGTGTGCGTTTCCAGCTGAACCTTGGACTTGGGACACGAACCAAACTTAGGTTTTGCTGGAGGTTTTGGAAGCGTGAATTAGGAGTGCAACAAGAGAATGTTTTATACCTGTTACGTGTAGACTCTGGCCCCTGTCAGACCAGCAGTCTGTGTGGGATAAGACTTATCAACAGGCTCAGTGTCTGAACAGATGGTTCCGTGTAATCTTGGTTTATGGTTTGCTGGCACTTTGCTCATCTGCCCTCCAGAGAGATTCTGTGCTTTCCTGCAAGCTTAGAATACAGATAACACTTGGCATGAGGTTTCATGCATGTCAACGATAGGCTTGCAAAGTTGAGAAGAAAATACTATTGAGATCCTATATGATGTTCTCTGTTAGCCAGACAGCAGCAGAAGCTTTGGGAGATGAGTGTTTCCTGCGCTGGATAACCTCAAAACTTTTTGTGTGGTCAGAGTGGCTTCTGTTGTAGCCCTTAGGGAAGTAACTTTTCCCCTGTTAGGTCATAATAGGCATGTTTTATCTTGTGCTAAGAGTTAGAAATCTTAAGATGCAGATTACATACATGCAGGATTTACCTGTGTTTGAATTGAGCAGAATTTAATTAGTCTTATTTCTAAGTGTTGGTCCAAGCAAAGACTTCACCAGAAATAGGTTGTCACTGTATGTATCTTTTTAGCTCTCTTCTTACCCACAAAGTAAATTTTGAGTTCTAGTGGCTCTCTGAACTTCCACATAAAAACACTTAGTGCATTACTTCATTTTTGGTGCTTTCTATGCTACCCAAACAAGAACTTAAAAGCTTGGCACTTGTGATACAGTTTGTCGCTAAATTTCTAGGAGTCTGAGCACTGAAAAGGGAAAGTTAAAACCCTGAGAGCTTCTCTGGGTAGCTGGGGAAGTGCTGCTCGCTAGTACTGCCTGGTAACTAACCGAGCTCAGACATGCTCATGGAACGGGGCCAACTAGGCCTGCGTGGTCACAGTGACAATGCAGACTGCAGAATATTAGAGATTATGTGGATCCAGTGATGGGGTTTTCCATGAAACAAATCGCTGTTTCTTTCTTTCTTTCTGCCTTCCTTCAAGTTAAGGGTCCTCGGTGCATTTACACTCAGCTCTGTCATATCTCCAGGTGATTTTGGAAACCTCCCCAAGAGCAAAGTGATGGAGAGAATACTCCTCTTGCCTCATGTGTAGACCTTTTTATTCTTGAAGAACAACAAAAATTGTTGCTATTTCTCTGTATATCAACTTTGAGATGGTCAATAGCTATTTTTTCCATTTTTTTTTCCTCAGTGATGTTCTTAAACTGTAGGTCATCAGGGAAAGTCAATGAAATTGAAGAGGAAGGCATTTCTTAAGTGCTAAATGTTTGTCATCTTTACTTATGGTACTCTTCCCGTTGACGCCAAGTTTGAAACAATGCTTTTGCTTTGAGGGATAATTCTGTAACATTGCCTATATTGAAATACATGTGTTTTAGAGAGAAAAAAACAAATACTGAAACTGATTGTGCTAAAATCACTTTCTAGCAGGCTGAAAACCAGCAACTCGGGTCCCCTTGCCAGAGGGGGATGAATCCTGTCTTATGGGACTGACCACTGCAAGAGCATCACTGCACAGTGTCTTCAGCTGTGCTGGTAGGATCCAGAGTATTGTGGATTGTGTCAGCACAGCATTCAAGGATCAGCTCTCACTACTGAATATTGTACTGACTCTTTCAGTGTCAGTTCTCTCTGTTGCCTTTGAATGATGAGCCTGGAAGGCAGAGCTGTACAGCCATGTTCATAGCAGGCTTTGGAGTGACTTAGTCATGTCCCTTGGACACGTCTTCATTTTTCTTGGCAAGTTTACTCTTTTTCTACCCAGACTGCTTTTATTCTTCTTACTTTTCTGTACGTATCTTGTAAGTTTTCAGTGAATATTTCTGTTCTGAAGTATACGTGACCAAATATTGCCTTTGGTATCAGAAACAGCGCTTTTAATTTTTATGTTGCTCTACATGCAACTTCTCTACGGGTACTATTCCTGCTCTTTCCCCCACGTTCAATGTGTAACTACATTTGTCTGTCCAACTATGTGATCTAATAATAAGAAATGTTAACCTGAATGCAATAAGATTTCTATTTTCAAGACAGAAAACATAATCCTTCTGATTCTGTGGAGGGAAAAGAGGAAAAGAAAACAGTTCAACTTGCAGTGCTGATTTTGAAGTAGATGTCCAAGGGCAGAGAAATCTTTAAGGAAGATTAAAATCCTGTTGCACCATGAGCTTAAAGAAAAATGTCTTGCGCCTCTCAAAGTTCTCCTGTCCTGTAATTGAGGGTATTGGTCATGTGACTCACAGAATGAGCCTGGAGCTTCATTAACCACAGCAGCTTTGGCTCAGTATAGTACAAATTAATGTGGAGTTGACTGGGAGTATTGGTTGAAATCTTTAAGTGGTGCATTTAGCTGTAGGGACTTAACAGTCCAGAGAGAATTGGAGCAAAAGGTAACTGCTGAAAGGAGGTGCCTTCTCCTTTGTTCCTTTTTTTCCAGGCTCAGCATATTTCTCTGCCTCTCTTCCATCTGTTCTGATCAGTTTTGAATTGCTTCAGCGTGCGATTCCATCAGCTTTGCTCCAAGCATTTACTAGGGATTTCATGAAAATCAAGTGCATTACCCTCCCCCAGTCTAGCCTATTTCTTGGTCTCTAGGCCTCTCAAGAAGGGGACTGAAGCAGGTTCCTCCCTCTCCATTAGGTTTTGGTGGTAATTTTTTTTGCTTTGGTTGAGCACCCTGGGTAGCACATAGGAGAAAGTGCTACTAATTAGGGTAATTTTCAATTCAAAAAAAGACAGGAACCTTAATGGATTGTCTAAGAAAATTATAATAATATGCAAAGCAGTGCACTGCTAGAAATACCCATGCTGATTGACCAAACTGTATTGCTTTCGATTCCACAGGAGACTAGTTTGCTACTTTTTTTAGAGTCTTTTATGGTCTTGTTGGGATTGCATATCCATTGCAGAGCATAGATAAAAATACTGAGCTTCCTATTATTTCTTTACTTTACAGCTCAAAAGGCGTTGTTCTTGCACTGAGGGTTGAATTGCCTAAACTCTGAATGGGTTAAACTAGATACTGATCTGCATATAAAATTCCTTCCTTCGTGTCTTGGAACTCTTCTGCCCTTCAGTCTAATAATTTGGATTAATATACAAATGCCACTTCCATTCGGTATTTAAAATGCGCAGGAATTATTTGGCCATCAAGATTAACAAATTACTATAATGGTAAAATAGATTGGTGAGCATTTAATCTCCCTTGTGCTTGGCCTTCCAGAAGCATGGAAGTAATCCTATTTGATTGTATTCTAAAATAATATGGGCTTGCTTGCTTCTTTCAAAATACCCCTGTATCCAAACAATTATAGTCTCCTGAATCGGTTGTACAACAAACAAATCTGAATACTTTATTCTCCACATTCATCTGACTAAGCTGAGGGTCCTGGAATTGTTTAATGCATTTGAATGTTATGTTTTTCTCATAGGTTTCTGGCTCATGTGAGCACTATGAAAAATATTTGAGCTATGCATGTTATAAAGAAAAAAAAAACCAGATATAAAACCTTGTTATCTTGCCAGACAATACTCTGCGTTATTGAAACAAGTTGAGTCTCTGAGATGCATCTAAGCTGAATTGGCATCCCCTCCCAGGTTCTAGTAAGCATTTTCAGGAAAGAGCCATGAAGCACATCAGTAAGTAAAAAAAAAAAAAAAAAAGGTACATAAACAAAACCACACCCAAACAAAAAAAAATCCCCACAAATAAAAAAAAAAAACACCCAGAAGATTTAATTATCAAGTTTCCAAAGACTTGCAAGCTATCACCCATAACTCTCACAGATGCAACAAGGTAGCTTTTCACGTCCATATTTGTGGTCTATGACAAGGTAACTTGACTTGCATTACCTTGGAATGGAGACAGATCAAACTAAGCTGATTTACTTCACATTTACCTCAGGCTGAGCTTGCACACAGGCAATTTCTGTGGGAGAGCTGATACCTAATAACTTGACCATATGCACTAAGTGTTGTGTGATTGTGCACATCTAAATTTGCAACAAGCTTTCCTGTTCAACAGCCCTCTGTCCCTTGAAATATTCAAACTTTGTATTTTACCTGGATGAACAGAATTACAAAATGGGTCAGGTTGGACAGGACCACAGTGGGTCATGTGGTCCAACCTACTTGCTCAAGCAGGGCTATCCTAAAGCACATAACACAGGATTGTGTCCGGGCAGTTCTTGAATATCTCCAGTGAGAGAGACTCCACACCCTGTCTGGACAACCTCTTCCAGTGCACAGTCACCTGCACAGTAAAGAAGTTCTTCCTCATAATCAGGTGGAACTTCCTGTGCATTTCAGGTTTCTGCCTGTTGCTTCTTGTCCCATTGCTTGGCACCACTGAGAAGAGCCTGGCTCCATCCTCTTGACACTTTCCCTTCAGATATACTAGGTGCCCAGAAGAGTATCATCTCATCAGGGCATTCCTGTTCTGCATTAGGGGCATGTGCATCCTTTGGATTAGCTTTACTGTTGGCATTGAGTGAAGGGTAACATATGCAGTTTAAGGCTGCAAATGCTTTTGCAGCTCCAGTGGAAATTACTGGAGAATCAGGTTTTTCTATATAGTTATAGACAGCCTCAGGTTATGAATAAATATGTTGGTGTTGGTGGCAGTACCAACATACAATTCTGCCCACACTGCAGTGCACAACAGGAGTTTGGAGTGTTGTGGCAAGGAGTGGAAAAGCATGAAATGTGATAATGTCTCCCAGTATCCCAGATGGTATTTGCAGTCCCTTCTTCTAGACCATTCAATTGACTACGAGATGTAAGCCCTATTGCACTGTAGGATTCTTTGGGGAGGTTCATGGCAAGCTTGAACTTTATTGGAAAGTATCCCCGCAAGGCCTGGATACAACTTGTGCCTTAGTACTTAAAACAATATTGTATCCTTGCTGAGTCACACTGTTGGGGCTGTTGTGTGTATGAAGCCTTCAGAGGCAGCGGGCAGCATGTTTTGTATATAGTGGGCAATGTCCAGCAGAAAGCAAGACACAGTTCCTTAGTGCAGGCTGCCCTGATCGCTTTACCTGAGCTTTTTAGGAGGGGCAGTGATGGTGAGCTGTCACCTGTGCTGTGCAGAGTCTGAGTCTGGGAGAAGGGCAAGAAGAGTCATAGAGGAGGATCCCCATCAGAGGCAAAACTTGAGGAAGAAAATGATTGTGTCCATGAAGGTTTATACATAACCTCATATGATGCAACAGACAAACAACACTGAGATTCTTGCTGAACAGTAGGAAAGGGGGCTGCCCAAGTACTTCAGAAGCTGGTAGCCTTTGACGTATTCTTCTGTGGGTCAGTTTGGAGTTGAGATGACAACAGCCACCTCTGAAGCCTGGGATACTGCAGCAGCATACCAAAAGTTCTTGGTCTCGGATGTCTCTGGGTGATGCATATGTGGCCAATAATGGCAAGTTTCTTAGGCATGGGATTCTCCAACAGTGTTGTCATTGGAGACACTTGCATGGCCTCCGACCAAGCACAGTCTGCCCGTGGCAGAAAGGGATTTTATTTTGTCTGCAGCAGACGGGAGAGCTACCACGGATGCCTTATTGTCATCAGTGCTGCAGATCTGTCATGTGTTTTCCACAATGCCAGCTTCGTTAATGACTTAGAGGAGCCAAGCAGAAATAGCAGGTCTGCACCTTCATTAATATCTTCAAACCGGTGCTTGGCACAAACTGCCCTAGCTGAGCTGCCTCAGACAGACCTGCCTTGTGAGGACAGGCAGTTTCACTTGCCAAAAGCTGTTCTGTTATTGCCCTGGCAGTTGCTGCCTGTGGACTGCTACAGATTTCTCATGTAGCAGTAAGGGTTGGATTGTAGTCCAATGCAAAGTCTATTTCTTAAATTCTGTTTGAGTTTTTTTTCATACAATCAGAGAATTGCTTTGGTGAAAAGGGACCTCTGGAGGTTGTGCTCAAGGTAGAGCTGACAAGAGTAGATTGTTCAGGGTCCTCAGCAGCTGAGTTCTGAGTATCTTCAAGGATTGAAATCCCGTATGCTTTCTGGACCCCTGTCCCTGTGTTTGATCACCTTCATGATAATTTTTCCCTGCTTTTACTGAACTGGGAATTTCCCGTTTTCCAGCTGGTGTCTGTTGTCTTTCACTGTGCACGTCTGAGTAGAAAAAGGGTCTCTTTCATCCATACCCATTAGGTACTTGTAGAAAGGAATAAGGACTCTTGGCCTTCTCTTCATGAGGATGAACAGACCAGTTTTCTCTGTTCCTCTTCAATACAGTAGGTGTTCCAGCCCAGTATGTCAGTGTCTTTTATACTGTTGGGATCCAAAAGTGGACACAGTACTCCTGATGTGATCTCACAAGTGTCAAACAGGGGGACAGAGTCACTCCCCTTGAGCTGCTGTCTGCAGTTTCGCTAGAGCAGCCTAATGGGTACCCTTTGCGGCAGTTATCTTTTCAAGTAGGTACTGCAATTGCACAAGCAGGTCCTGGCAGCACCTGTGACATTGTCAGATCTGATGTAACTCTTTCACCTGCATACAGAATCCAGCTACAGAGCGGCAGTTCTGTGGAAAGCCTTTCATCATTGTTTGCTGCAAATGTGTGCGAAAGTAAGTTTGATTATAGATGCACAGAACAATGCAAAACCAGATCTCTCTGATGAGAGATCTTTGCAAAACCAAGCAGTAGAGTCTGTCATGGGCCAGTTGCTAAAGTTGGGGCAGGTGCTGCTAAAGTTACGCCTTGTATTGCTGCACTGTCACTGGGTTCTGACAGCTCTAGAGTGCAAGGTGAAACCTGATGGGGAAAGTGCGGAACAAGGGCCAAAGGATCGAGGAGCACAATGGTGGGACATGCTAAAGGGCCAGCAAGCGCTCCTAAAATACTGCAACACACTGCTCTGCTTCTCTCATCGTTGCTCCTCTCTTTTGGCCTTCATCCTACTCCATGCCTACGTTTCTGTGTGACGGGTTGACAGGGAATACACTTGCTGCCTGGCTGTGATCCATGGGAGTGACAGATCAGTCCACTTACTTCAAAACTACGTGCACTCGCTTCAGCTGATGTCTCTATTGTCTCAACAGCCTTTTCCCTGCCTCCGTTCTTACATGACCCTCGTCTGAAGGAGGTACCTATTTTGCTTCAGACTTGAGCGGAAAAAAATGTGTTAGTAATTGTTTTTCCCGTGGCAGAGAAGCACTCAGTCTCCTGCTTGGGTTCAAGAGAATACCAAGTGTTGGTATGCACACAGTTGTTGCGTTCTAAATCCGCTTTTCTGGGTGTCGTACACCTTGTTGACAAAATAAAGTTATAGCATCTGTGACATATGTCACAGCATGAAGGGGCTGCCTGCAAGCTCCCAAAGGGGCACAGTACCAGGGACCAAGCTTTTAGGCTATGATAGATAATTGAGCCTAGAACAGTAACAGCTGGTGACCTTTTGGAAAGAGGTTTAATCTTGAGCATAGAGAGGCTTAGGTCACCCACTCATAGGGAACTGGAAACGCATTTTGGAAGGGACTTTTTCTCTCAGACACAATTAGTTTAGTGGTGCCTGAAGCAAGTCTTTGCTTCTGTGTTCTACAAAACACAGAGCTTTATAACTTGTATAAATTTCAACCCTGCACTTTTCTACCCCAGTTCCCACTTAAACTGCTAATTTTTGAGGGCAGGGGAGGGAGGGAAAGGAGGAAACCATGGAATAGATTATAGAGGTTATCACTATTGATCACATGTTCAAGTCAGATCTCTCATCAGTTACTGAAAAAGAGAGCTGAATGCACTCTGCTGGCCAGCTGTCTGCAGTTATGAAATCAGCATCAAATTCAGCTCTTCTGGTCCTGACTGAAGACTCTAGGAAAAGGTTTCCTTTCTTGGTCTGTAGAACAGCACCCAAGGAAGGTAAGCACTGGCAGGATAGGATGGCATTGCCACCTCTGCATGCCAGGATGGAAGAGGTGCAACGGTAATGTGGATGGAGTAGTTAATTAGAAAGACATTATGGTTTTTTTAGAAACATCTCTCCGATGAAATCTTTGGTGTTGCTGTCACAGTGAAATATTAAGCATGGTTCTTAACTGATTGACAGAAAGTAGGCTGAAATGTGGAAAATACATTGCTAATAACTCTTCTTTTCTCTGCATACAGGGAAACAGCTGGATGGCATCTGGTAAGTGACTAGATTTAAATTGCATAATGTGTGTAACACACTGTGGTGTAGGAAGCATTTTCAATATGAGGTTATATATGCTTCAGATCTTAAGAACATTTTATTGTGGAAGAAAGACCAAGGCACTTTGTGTTCCTGAATACAGATTGATGGTAAGATGATGTACAATCAGGTGCTAGTTAAACCTCTCCATTCAAAGCTCAGTGGACCTCATGGAAAAAGGTGTTGTTAGTGCACCTGTACACTTTTTCAAGGGTAGGATGTTGTCTTTGTCCCAAGTACTTTGTCATGTAATTCCAGGCATGACCAAACATGAGAGTAAGAGTAGGTGGGAAGAAGGTATTACAGAATCAGGCCTTCTGGCATATAAGAGCAGTGACTACTTTTGGTTACAAAACAGACCCAGCTTGCTATAACTCATGTCAAGAATTTTTATATCATATCAGGAGGGTTTGGGGTTTCTTTTAAAGGCAAGAAAAACACCAAACCCTTGTCTATCCATTTTTGCCTCTACAGATTCATCTCCCGTGGTTGTCTGACCAGCTTCTCAGCCAAAGTCTTTCCGACATACACTTCTGTCAGTGTGGTAGCAAAGTAGCTCTGTCTCTCTCTGTGACTTCACCCTCAGCTGAGGGAGGCTCATGCCTGGACTCCTAACTAAGCCTATTCTTTCCCAACTGCTTACAGAGTTACAGTAGGCTTGATAATAGTTGCTTCCATATCCATTCATGTTCCAGCAGATCTTGTTCCTACTCACAGAGACACATTGACCTTTTCTTTCAGTTATTCCCTTCATGATGTCCTTGAGCTGATAAATTTACCGGTGATTTCTGTGCTAGGCTATTTCCTTTTTTCCTTTGTTTCACCTGGTTTTTGTTCTCTGTGGCAGGCACACCTCCATAATAGTCCATAAGGATGAATTCTTCTATGGCAGTGGAGGAATTTCCAGCTGTGCACCTGTAAGTTTAATTTTCTGATATTTTTTATAGGATTACCTGGTCAGAATTGCTTGTGTTAATGTCTTTTAGAAAAGCAGCAAGAGACTTCTAAATTAAGACAGAGGGTGAAGCCAGCTGCTTTCCGAGGTTTTCCAGGGCACCTGAGGAAAAGGGATTATGAACAATGGGTTTAAGTCCAAATAAATACAGGTTGGGGATTGCTTCTTCTGGTAGAATCTATCTATCCAGAGCACCTTCTGCAGCTGCATTGCAAGGGTGACATTTTGTCCAATTCTGTATTGTTAAGTTTTACATGCAGACTTTTTAAGATAAATAAAACCAAAGCAAAACAAAACCATGATGCTTTCTCAGACCTTTCTGTTCTGGGAGAGGTAAAATGGATGAGCTGTTGTTCTAAAGCGGAATTTTGCTACAGCTTAGAGCTTTCAGCCCGAAGAACCAAATGTAACAGCTGAAATGAACGTTGCATGTTCTTCTCATTCTCTTGAGAGGGAAGACCAGCAGTTCTTGCTCGACAAACACACCGGAAGGCCCTCCTTTTGTGCCTGGACGAGTCACAGTAGCTCTATTCAGTAGGGTCGTCCAAAAGAATTCAGTCTGATCATTTGACATTGTCTTCTGGCTGTTCATTTTTACAGGGAGGGACACTTCTTGGCCCCCCGGACACAGTTGTTGACCTGGGGAACACTGAAGTCACTGAAGAAATTTTTCTGGAGTATCTTTCCTCTCTGGGGGAATCTATGTTCCGGTAAGTAGCATCTTGTACTAGAAAATCTGTATATCAAAAAAGTGCAGAATGGAGAATGTGAAACCAGTCCAACTCACAAAGCTTTTGTCTGCTAAGTGTATTATTTGGTACTCTTCAAATATGAGACTGGAACTGATGTACCAATATGCAAGGAGCTACCAGCTAGGCAACCCTCTGGTGTGCCAGCCTTGAGCTAGGCTGGGAAAGCATTCTTGTGGGAAGTGTTTCACACTGTTTTTTGTAAAATCGAATAATGCCTGAAATGCCTTTGAGAGAACCACCAGGGAAAATGAAATCTCTCAGTAAATAGCACTTTGCCCCATGAGTCATAGGTGAAGTGCTGTAGTAAAGCTGCCAACTTTCATATGAGTAAAAGCAAGGTCTTGAGTGAGTCTGCTTCTTACAAGAATAGAAAACTGTAGCATTTAGTGTTCTGGCTATCTTTCAATGTCAGTAATTCCTGTGATTTCTCATTACTTCTGTGGTTTTAAGTGACAAAACCTGACCTCACTTATCCTCCCAAAACCCACTGTTATAAAGTCAGTGATGCAGAGAAATGTCATTTTCCACCCTGATTCAATTGAATTTGAGAGTGAGTTGATGTCTGTATTTTACTTATTTGCCTTAGAATTCTTTGGGGAGGAGGGTGCTAATGTAAGGAGATGTTCTTCATTAGGGGTCTAAGTTTTTCATCTTGTAAGATTTATTGCTGAGTCTGTCTTTATGGTTCAATTTCTTTTCTGTGGCGCAGAGGAGAGTCTTATAACCTCTTTGAACATAACTGCAACACCTTCAGTAATGAAGTGGCACAGTTTCTGACAGGAAGAAAAATCCCTTCCTACATCACTGACCTTCCATCTGAAGTTCTTTCCACGTGAGTATGGATGTCCCTTCTCTCTGTAGCTGCTTCATTCTAATGCTTAAACATATGACAGAGTGAGCAGTACCAGTTTCTGCTGGCTCTGCCTAAGAACCAGGCAAGGATTAAGGAGAAGATGCTTATTTGAACACTTACAACACCATATCACAAATGCTAGCTGGTACTGGTGTTGCAAAGACAGGAGAAGGTTGTTCTTCTGCCTTTACTTAAACCTATTTTTTTATTTTGTGATGGTCTCTTATATGTGACAAGCATAAAAAGTTTCAGAAAACAGTGCAAGTTTGTTTTTTTTTCTTTTAGGAAACTAGTATCTGTTAAAGGTTGCTTCTCTAAGCACCATAATTGCAGTGGAGGTGTCAGCTTTGCTTGTGATGAGGCAGGGGAGATATAATATTTAAATTAATGCTGCAGTTTTAAAGCAGGACTGGGTGCAAAAAGAGGATATAAAAGAAGAAATTATTTCCTGCCTGATAATTCAGATCAACTTCTTTTTTTTTAAACTCTCAGCTAGTGAGGATCCCAGCGGGATGGTTTGAGCTCCATCATGTAGATCCTAATTTTTCATAACAGCGGTATGGCACATTATTTGGGAGACTTGTCTGCTGCCCTGGGCTCTTAACGTATCAGATTTCTCAAAACCTATAACAGAATGAGTCATATGGAAAGATAACCAGGTGCTACCGAGTGCAACAGGGATTATTCTGTGAGTGTTGATCCATTGTCTCTAAGGGAGCTAGAGGCTATTCTTCTGGCAGATCTCAATATTGATGTACTTAATGGAACACTGCAGTTGCATAACAGGGATTTTGTTTGCACACTTAAGTAGAATGAATTACTGAAAGCTAGTTTCAGACACAGTATTACCACATTAGCAGTCTAGGCATGTTAGGACTCAGAACTAGCTTATAGTAAATAAACTTTAAATTCTTTAGTTATTGAACAGTAAACTGTCTTTATTATGCTAAATTAGTTTGCTTAAGTTTGTAGTGGAAGTTCTTCAAATTTGCTTCTACAATGGTGGTTTGATTGCACTCTCTAGGAAGTGAGTGAGCTTCAGTAGTAAAGGGAAACAGTTGTTAATCAAGTAAACTATTTGAGATGCTTATTTTTTTACCTTCTCAGACCTTTTGGACAAGCTTTAAGGCCCCTCCTGGACTCCATCCAGATCCAGCCACCCGGAGGAAATACCTTCAGCAGACATAATGGACAGAGCTAACAGGAGTGACCGAGTGTGCCCAGCCTCACCAGGCCTCTTCCTTTTTAAACATGAATCTACCAGATTTCTATTTTATAATTTCCCATCAGAATTAACTCTGGAGAAGTTGCAAGACAAGTTTTAAAATTTCCTAGGGAGAGGATTTATCAGGGTGCATGTAAGACAATGCTACCAAAAAGATTGCCATAATTTCTAATAGCATTTTACTAATTTATAAAGGCTGTCTTGTCGAGTAGGCTGAGACTTTCTACGTAACTCCTGTGCTGGTAAGTGAAAATTCATTCCGTGAGCATTCAAGGGCCCATCACACAATTTGAAGTAAATAAGGGGATGTCCTAACCATCCCTTGCAGACTTGCATGCATTTCTCCTCTCACTGCCTGTATTATGGGGGTCTCTGCTGAAGTCTGTAGCAAAAAAGGCAAAGGAAGTGTTGGTAGCCTAGGAAGTGAAGGTGTCCCAGGATTAGTCTTCTGCGTATTTCACTGACATTGTTATTTGCTCAAGGGAAAAGCTGAACTCATCTGACTAGAACATTTGCAGTGGCACAGCTGTGTGGGAAAGGTGATGAAGCTGAACTATGTGTCAGTGTCACACTCGAGTTGGAACTCAGTGGAACTTGCTGTGGTGGGAGGGAGGCTGGAACTGAAGGTTACCAAGAAGCTTGTAATGCCAGATCCAAGAGTTATGGGAAAGAACCAGCTGAAAGAACAGAATCTCATGAGCGGAAGTGGTAGAAACAAATTTCAGGTGAAAGTAAAGTGAAGTGAAATGTTTCCTTTTCTCGCATGTAAACTTATCAACAGATAGACAGAACCTTCTTAATTATTTACCTTTGCATAAGAACTGTGTTTTCTTGGGTTTTTCTCCTTACTAAACCAGACTTACAGTACAGTAAGACAGGAATAGCATGGCAACTGCATGATAATACAAGTTGGACCAATTCTGCATTCACTATCGAGTTGCAGACACAGTAGGAGTTCCAACTTTCATTGATATTGCTGCCCTTTCCAAAGCAGTCAGCGACATCAGAGAAAGGAGACATCTCTGCTTAAGAGAAATAAATGCTAGGTCTCCCCAAATGTAAAGAAAATGAAGAAGAGTAAAATTAGGCTTTCCATGGAGCAACTGAGTTTTTTGGGAAACACGCAGAAGCAGTCCTGTCCTTAGATCGACCTTAGATTGTATCAATACTACATCTACTAGTTTAAGATTTTTATAGCTTTGCAATTATTTGCAGTGGGAGAAGAACAGGGGAATGAAAGAATAGGCACACTGGTTTCTTTTCATGCATGTATTTATACTATTTTCCTGAACAATTTTGTAGCAGTTACATTTAGGAAGGAATACCAGAAAGACATCGAACAAACCCCAAACATTGCTGATGCTCCAGAAATGGGGATTGCACGTCCCAGATGCTGCTGAAAAAGCATATATGCAAATGTACAGCCCTTTGTCCAGTGCTTTGTTGTGAAAAGTGTTGCTGCAAGTTCAGTCCTGCATCTCAAACTTCCTGCACTGGAAACTTTATGCATACCTAAAGGAGGTGTCTTTCCTCTGCTGGGTTCTTTCTCCCAGAATAATGCAGTTTGATAAGCTTGTCACATTATTTCTCTGTTTGGACTATAATGGTTTGTATTTATGAGGGGTTGGAATAGAAGAAAACTGCATTTTCATCACTGTCAAATACTCTGTTGCCCTGCAACTTGTGGAGCCACTGCACAGATGGAGATAGGGTAGTGTCAGTCCATTCTGCAGTTTTTTGTGTGTACCTTCTTTCAGTGCGCAGCAGTGGCCCCTGCAGCCTAGATGCATCTTTTCCTTGTCATTCTCTGCTTGTGCCATCAACTTCTCCGTATGCATTTCATTTGATGGGCTGGACTTGGATATAATGGTAGCAGTTAGTATAGATTGCTTTATACAAAAGCTTTCAATCTTTCCCCCTCGAATGTCCTGTTTGCAGAAAGCATCCTATAATAAGTCATTTATGAATAATGCCTTTTGATGCTGCCGGAGGAAGGATTGGTATTTGTTTGCTGCTAGGCAATAGCTTAGTTTTCCTAAGTGTATCCTCTCCAGTCTTTTTTCATACCTATTCTGTGAAGAGTAACCAGCCTTTCATCTGAATGCACATGACCATGCCACAAAACATTGTAGATCGTGTTAGAGATCTTGGAACTTCCTTAGTTGAGCAGGTATATATTCAAGCTGTTACAGTGCAGCCCAACATCTAGGTGTGCTAGTTTGGTACCTGCAAGCAGCACAGCTGTGCTTGCTTGTCTTTCAGCAAACTATCACTTCAGGTGCAGCTGCCTGTAGAAGCACTGGTGCCATGGTTTCTGCCCCACACTCTTTCACAATGAGGATATGCCCTGTGTGTCCACGACTTCAGATGTCCTGAGCCTGGTTTCTGCTTGGCTACCTATTTCAGGACTTTTTACATCCTCTCAGGGGGCAGGAAAGAAAAGGAAGACATTCACCCTGTGCATTTTGCAATCTGCCTTTTCCCCTCCCGAGCAGCCCTTTTGCAGAGATAATGCTCCTACTTTAAGGTCACTGGGTAAAATTTCACTCAGCCATATACTGTTTGCAATAGCCAAGGAGCTCCTCAGGGGGCCTCCTGGGCTCGGGACCTACACTTGTGTTTCATGGCAAAAGAGCTGTAGGAGGGAATCCTGTTTGCTTGGTCTTACTGGGTAATAAAACCCCTGTACGCTGTAGGACTCTTAGGAAACCCATTTTCTCCAAAGACGGTTATGTATAAATTGCAGGACTGTGCCCTCGATGTTGCACCCAGCCGAATATAAACTAGACTGAGAAGTGTATGTAAGTGTATATTGGTGACGAACTTCAGCCAGCTGACTGACAAAGGGGCAGGGAAACTGAACCCCTGAATGGGAGCAGAACTCTTTTGCCCACACCTACTATTCTGTCTTGTATTGCTGGGGTTCCCCCGTGCCATTTTAAAAATGTTAATAATGTCTTTAGGCAGAAAGTGATGTTTTGATTTATTTGTGGGTTTTTTTCTATTACAATAAAAAGAAATACAGCAAATTTTCCTGATTGAATGCATGTGCCCACACAGCTGCCCAGCGGATGCAGCTGACCAGAAGTCATCATCTTTATCCTGATCCCAGCCGGGAAGTGCAGAATGAGAAATTGTTCAAGCAGTTTGTGCCAAGTACTGCTATGGGAAGTAGTGGGGGCTACTGCTCTTTTCTGAACTGGCCACAGGCAATATTCTTATTTAAGTTGGGAAAAATTTTTCTTCTGTAAGTACCGTGGTTTCTAAAATCATGCTCCTGAGGCTTGGCACAGCTTGGATGTGCTCAAAGATGATGTTCTGTCAGCACAGGTTTTGTACAGCCCTTGCTCATTTAAGTGTGCGAGAATGAAATGTCTAATGTCTGTTGCTGAAGAAGAGGACCAGCAGAGTTTAAACATGGGAAAAGGCTCTAAGCTTGATGCTGCTACTTCAAAATGAAAAAAAAAAAAAAGCTAAAAAGCAGTAGACTAAGAAGTAGACTTCATGCCTGGGTTCCTCTGGAGCTGCAGAGGAGATGCACTGCCCAAAATATCTGGCTCTGGGGAAGACATTAATTCTGCTTGATTCAGCCTTCTGCTTGCTTATTGATGGCATGCAAACGATAAACCACACAATTCGCTGTTTCTGTAACACTCTGTATCAGTGTAATACAGAAGAGGTCTTGTAACAGAAGGAGGTTGTAACAAAGATGCAATGATTGTGGTTATTTTGGGCTGTGTTACTCAGATGTGGTGCTAGTTTGTTATCAAGTACTAGTACTGGCCCCATACAAAATACCTGCAATTGGGTATTTTTAAATTAAATTAATTTTTTTAATTTTTTTTTTTTAAATTTAAAGGAAAACCTTGACTTCACTGGCATCCCTAGACAGAGTGTAAGATAGTGCTCATAGCAGCTTACCTTCAAAACTTCTGCCAAAATATGTGCCTTTGCTGCTAGTAGCAGAGATTTCATTCCTGATGACAGCTGCTGCCTATCTGAGTGGCAGTCAAGCAAACGTATCAAGGGTGGTTGAAGTGCAAAGTATTAAATAACCGGAACAGCCGCAGCAGCCCTGTTCTCAGAGCTAACCTGGGTGAAGGAACAAGCACGGCTGTTAGAGCTGTGCACTTCACCAGAAGACAGGCTTATGCTCTTGGGGAAACCAAGATGCCCCAAGTGCTCACCAGGTGAGGTGTTTGGACTCAAAGAGATTTTTTAAAGCAGTGTGACAAATAAGCTGGAGAAAGCACAGCAGGTAGTTCAAGTTTTGGAAAGCTGTGCTGGTAGCATAAACCTGATAGGCACTGCAGGACTGTGAAAATGTGAATGCTGACTGAATTTTAACAGGCTTCCCAATTCAGGAAAGTGCCCCGAGGTGGCACTGCTGCCTCGCAGCACGGGGATGCACCTGAGCCTGGGGAGAGTGGCTGGGATGTCCACAGTAATGTCAGTGCAACAGGCATGGAGAGAGGTCTCTCACAGACACAAAAGCTGCAGGAGCAGCCAGGAGACAAGATCGTGGGGCAGCTTGGACCTCAGCAAGTGCCTGGTAGCAAGGACAGTACACTGCTAGGGCCGCAATAGGTGTGAGCTGGCAGTTTTCCCTAAATCCATGCTTATTTCATGCAGACTGGGAAGTCTCGTCCTTATACCATGCCGTGGCTTATGGAAAATAAAGGCTTGCATTCCTGAAACCCTGGGAGTTCGCTGTCTATCTGACCCCACGGCTGTCTTTTGAGAGCCCTGGGCGTTAGCTCACAGCCCTGCTACATGGGAGAGCAGTTCTTTGGCTTCTGGTACTTGAGTACCCCGAACACGTGAAGGCACGTCTGCTCACTTGTCAGCATGCCATGGTAGGCACACTTCGAAGTATTCATACTCTGGAGTAAGCATCCACATGCTGACTGATGATATATGTAACCACACCTAGACAAGTCCTATAAATGAACATAACCCTAAACTCAACTAAAAAATCAGTGCTCAATTGCATACAAAGCAGTTGGGTGCTAAGAAACCACTCTGGAAGCTTCAATGCATCTGAGTAAAGAGTCCTGCTTTCCAGAGGCAGGAGCCCATAACTGGGTCTAATCCAGAAGGCCCCACTGGCTGTGATTCTGCAAGAAAATTAATGCTGGGGCAAATAACACTAGTAATACCCGTCCAAGACTGCCTGACTCACTATGTTGTGGAGGCAACTCACAGAAACAGTTTGGAAACAGCTGTCCTGGTGGCATTAACCAGTGGACAATGAATGTCTCCCCCAGAAAGTAGCTGAGGATGTCTTGGTAAACCAAAATTATTAACATGGTTTCTGTACACCGCCCCTTTCACAGAGTGGGAGCAGGAAAATCATAAACCACAAACAAAAAAACAGAATCTGTGAAGCCACCTGGATGCTTCATTTTGAGAGGAAACTGGTGGAGAACTGGGAAAAGGGACTGTACAATATCCTGGAACAAATAATACCGAGAAAAAAAACAGTAAAAAAATGCCTCCCCCCAATTCCAACCTAGTTTGGCACTGAGCGCAATTGGGGAAGGGAATGCAAGCTAACTGTTGAGCAGAAAGCATTGGATGTTCCACATAGGTTGGTTTTGATTTCAGAAAATAATTCAGGAATCATTGTAGGAGATGGCAGTGGGGAGGGGGTTTTCAATGTCACTTATCAGGACAGCATAATACGGAGCCATGTGAATATGATCTGACCAGATGGTCTAATTAAATCCTGAATGACTTGTGAGCAGGTCAAAGCAAAAGTTATTAGCTTTGTGCAGAGGGTATTTTCACTTCTCCAGTGGAACATTAGCTATGAATAGCTAATCCTACTGGAAAAGCAAGATGAGGCACAGGGACTGAGCGGATGAGTGTGTGCTGCTGGACAGTGGGAAGTGTCCTTCGCTAGGACACAGAAACCCCCAGGGAAGCTGAGTTTACCAGGCAGCTCAATCCAGACCCACAGCCCCTCAGTTCCGGGGGCACGGCAGCAAATGTGAAAACACGCACCCCCCACACCGTCCCTCCTCCAGACTCCCAGGTCCCTCATTAGGGCTCTAAAGCCAAAGACTTAAGGAGACAGCTGAAGCGGGGACGCCGTTCACGCCCGGCACGTTGCGGCTCCACTGACGAGGCGATGGAGCCCCCGGTCGGTGCCGAGGCGGCGGCCGCACGTCCCGCCGGCGGGCGCGGGGAGGGCGGGCGGCCGCCATCGCCTCCCCGGCGCGGTCCCGCCTCCCGCCCGCAGAGCCCGGGCCGGCGGCGGGCATGGCGGCGGCGCGGGGCCGGGTGCTGTGCCTCTTCGACGTGGACGGGACCCTGACGCCGGCTCGGCAGGTAGCGAGGCGCGGCGGCGGTGGGCTTCTTATTGGCGGGGGCGAGGTCAGCGTGGCGGAGCTCGTCCCGTCTGCTCCGGCCTCACCCGCTGCTTCCCCTCCAGAAAATCGAGCCGGAGGTGGACGCGTTCCTGCGGGAGCTGCGGGAGAGGGTGCACATCGGCGTGGTGGGAGGCTCCGACTATGCCAAGATAGCCGAGCAGCTGGGGGACGGGGACGAAGGTGAGACGCGGCCGACGAGATCTCCCAGGGGTCACCTGTGCCCTAAATCCAATCCCAAGGCTGCCCCTGGGGAGGCTGGCTGCGCCCTTGCGGAGCTGCTGCTTGGCTCCCCCCCGCCTCTGTGGAGAGCCGGCAGGGATGCTCCGATCCACGCTGCTGACTCCAGCGTCAGTTTTGTACGAGCTTCATCAGGGCTCTGACAGCTGCGCCCCCACATACAGCGGGCAGCATCCCCCGGCAATTTTTGCTTCCCTGCTGCTCCGTGTGGGGTCTCTGGCAGGTTCCAACGGGGACACGGGGTAGAGTAGGGAGTGAGAGGGCAAGAGGGAAGCCCCTGCTCCCTCCACCGTGTTTTCCTTCCCCGGCATGGATAACAAGCGCCACTGGGCTCCAAGCTCTACCTCCCGCTTCGCTAGCAGAGGGAGGCCGAGAAATTCCCGGCTGAGGCGGATTGCTGAGTCGCCAGTGCTGCGTGTCTGGGTTGCAGGAGGGGCTGGAGTTAGATAACCAGTAACCACATCACCCCGGCAGCCTGGCAATGGGGAGGGCAGAGGAGAGAGCAGAGTAACACGCATGTATTTGAAAGCCTGACATTTTGGAGCCCTTATCTTCGTCCTGCAACTGATTCAGTCCGTGACCTCGGTCAGGTCGTTTCCCCCTGCGTGCGTCAGCTCCCCACCCGTGAGCAGAAGATAATCTCATCCACCTTGTGGAAAGCAAGGAAAGTAGGATGGTCAGTGGCCCTTAGCAGAGCACAGGCGCTGTGGAAAGTGTGGTACTATGGAAGCAGGAGGATGGCTCACTTAGCCCTAAGCCCAGTCCTTTTTTCTGTTCTTCCCAGGCAATACTCATGTTTCCTCTTTTGCTTCCTCCCCTCCCAGTCATTGAAAAGTTTGACTACGTCTTCGCAGAGAACGGCACAGTGCAATACAAGAATGGGCAGCTGGTCTCCAAGCAGGTAGGTCCAGCTCCCTTTGCAGCCGTGGCTTTCCTGCCCTGTGCCCTGCTCGCCATGGGGACCAGCGCCTGCCCCACCCAGCCTCTTCTCCCCAGTTGCCAGATCTGAATGTCCCACTCTTCTAGGTGGGCTTCCTAGGGAGTCAGGCATCTTCTTCACTTCCCCTTCTCTTCATGCAGGCCATTCAGGACCACCTGGGGGAAGAGCTGCTGCAGGATCTGATCAACTTTTGTCTCAACTACATGGCATTGCTGAAGCTGCCCAAGAAACGGTAACGGCCCAAGTGCTTGCAAATGGTGGTCGTAACACTAATTTCTAGGGAACCCTGGGCTCCAGAGCTCTCCTAAAAACAGCTGAGCTACAGAGCTTGTCTTGCTTCAGGTTTTATCTTAGCATCGAAAGGCACTGTGTAGGATCAGTGTCCCGCTGAGCTGGGCAGCCTGGGCAAATAATGGAGGAGGGTCTTTGTTCTGAGGAGTCTGCGTTATGTTTTAGCATAATGCCTGTTCTTTGGCCTCTCAGATTTTCTTCCTGGGGAAGCAAGGTACAGCCAGTGCATGTATCCAATTTAGGACAATGGTGCCAGCTTGTTACTGGTCAGGGCATCAGGCACTGTTGGTCATATGAGTTTCCAAAAAGGCAAACAATCGATCTTAAGATGGGAAGTCCAGTGCCTGAGCACACGGTTTCACTGTTTCTAACCCAGTGTCACTAGCTGGCCCTGCCCTGCTCCCAGCCATGTGTTCCTGTCTGGTCTTCCCCTTGATATCCAACAGCCAGAGGGGGAGCTGAGTTGGTACACCTCCTCTGAGGGAAGACCAGACGACTACCAGGACAGAAAAGGGTAGTTTTCCATTGGATCAGCTCACCCTGTTAGTACAGAAAGGAGAGAGAGGGAACAGATGGCATGAAAGTGGAAGGGTAGAACAGGAGGACCTCTTTCAGAGGCAATCTGCAGTCAAGCCAGCCTGGGTACAGGGTCAAATTCCACCTCAGACCACAATTTCACAAATGCATGAGCCACCCCGTGCTGTTGAAAGCAGCAGCTCTGTCTTCCCCTCGCCCTGGATGTTTTTTTTCTGCTCTCCTCATGTGTTTGTACAGTGAACCTGAGCAGGTGAGCTGTTGGGTCGAGATTAAACTGGTAAAAGTTGCTACACTGTGATCCAGATTATTTGCTTGATATGAGTCACTATGTGGCAATACAAGGACTGGTGAGAGGGGCTAGGGTGGCTCCTTGCAACAAGACTGCTGGCTGAACAGGCCCCTGAAAGCACAGGCTGGGACCCAGAACCCTCAAGGCTCTTTGGTTGCCTCACTGCTGTCTAGTTACCCAACAGCCTGGCGAAGTTTCAGCTCCCAAGTAGCTCTGTGGATTTAGGCTTATAGGATTTCTAGCAAAGCAAGGACTTTAACCCAGATCTCCTGAGTCTTGACTTGGGGCGTGAGCCACCAAACCCTGGGTGCTGCAGAGATGCTGCTCCCAGGCTGCAGGCATGGCTGCCTTTGTGTCTGTTCCCCATGGTGTTCCTCACTATGTAACAAGACAGGAGGGGGAGAGTTCTTCCTCCAGACTCACTTTATCGCAGAGAAACAGTAGGCAGGGCTGGTAGGGACATCAGAGGGTTAAATGTGATCAGGAATCCTCTGCTGGACAGGGAAGGGGATCTCTCTGCTCCAGCTAGGTTTCCACAAGAGCTTCAGTCTGTTTTCACATTAGCAGTGCTGCCATGCCCTGTTGTTTCTGCCCCACCAGTGCTGGTACCTGTCTGGTCCCTTGACAAGCAAACAGAACTAGCTGGGTTTATAGCAGAGAGAAAAGAAGGTAGCAGTTTTCTGCCAGCTCAGTGCTTTCAACCAGCCCACAAAGGAAGCACAGTGATCCCAGCAGCAAGGGTGGCATGCAGGAACTGGATGCTGTCTGGGCAAGCTTAGATAAGAGCTGCAGTCAGAGGTTCAGGGGTCAAATGGGAGATACGAAGGCCCTGATTTGTGTCCCACGAGGACACAAATTGCCTGATTGCTCCTCAGCCGGTTGCTGGACATCAGCAGTAAGTTACACTGACCTGTGCTATTGCACTGCCCCAAGGTACTGCCAGCTTCACAGCCCACACAATATTTCTTAAATGGGATGGAGATGCCACAGTCTCATCAGGCAGTTGGTCCAGGCCAGGCAATAGCTGTCCTTGCAGTTATCCCAACATTAGAAAATGTTACCTAAGCTCCTTGTATCCAGCCTGTCCCCAGGGCACACAGAACTGTTTATTCCTCTTCTCTTACAGTCTCTTTGTATAAAACTATGCACCCCAGGGGGATCTTAAGCAGTTGTTGTTGCCTGGTCCCTTCCTAGTGTGAAGCACCCATGAGCGGGCATGGCTTCTCTCCTCCTGCATGTCCTTGCAGAGCCTCGCTAAGCAGCCATTCCCCTGTAAAGGTTGTTTTTCTCTCCCTGCCCCAGTAACCTTCTCCCTTTGCCCACTCACAGAGGAACCTTCATTGAGTTTCGCAATGGGATGCTGAACATCTCCCCCATCGGAAGAAGCTGCACCCCCGAAGAGCGAATTGAGTTCTCTGAGCTGGACAAGGTACGCAGGCCAGACATGGGCTCACCCTCCCCTTTGCTGGTTTTGCACAACCACAGATCTCAGGTCTTATGTTCTTCTCCCCTTCCCAAGGAGAAGGGAGCCCAGCTCCAAGCTGTGCATATGCAGCAAGGTGGAGACAGGACTGGGGATCAGAAAACCTGAGGGGAGACACAGATGAATGGAAGAATTGGATTTCATTAGGGACCACCAGTGTGAAGGGGTGGCCAGCAGGATGCTCTGTGCCGTGGGAGAGCCACAGGGAATAAGGCAGTTATTTAACAGCATGTTTCCTCATTTACACTACCCAAAGATGGCCCAGCACCTATCCTCTCTCCCACTCTCCCAGCTGCAACAGAGCTGAAACTGATGAGCTTTCCAGACTCAAAGAGCGACACCAGAGATCTGCTGGGCAGGTCTCTGGAGCGTTTGGCCCATGCTCATACCAGTTTACGCTTGGGGGAGCTTTCTTGGGGTTGAGGGATCAGTTGGTCCTTGCAAGACTTCTTAATCAAAACTGGAGACTTTGGGTTATGAACTGGCCTTCTAGGAAACTGAAACAATTGCATTTCATTGCCAAGGAAGGGCTGGGATCTGCTCTTCCCCATGGACTGAGCTGATGGCCTTTTACTTGGGCAGTGGGCAGGACTGGTGGGAGTTGACTAAATGGCCTAGGACAGTTGGGAAGGGAGCAAAGCAATAAGGCAGAGTTGTCCAGCAGACAGGTTACAGTGGATTCCAAGAGACTGTCAGCATCTAATTTTTCAAACCCTATTTCCTTCTCTTTCCTTCCTTTTCCTCCACAGAAAGAGCGGATCCGGGAGAAGTTTGTGGCAGCCTTGCAGAGGGAGTTTGCTGGCAAGGGCCTGCGTTTCTCCCGAGGTGAGCTGGGAGGGCTTCCTTGGCTCTGTCTTTATCATGTTTTCCATGAAATTTTCCATGAAGGGGAGCAAGAATCCCAACTGTTCCCTATGAGGGCCTGGAGACCTTGGGAAGAGCAGAAGGAGCTTTTAGTCCTGGAGAGCTGCCACAGGGGCATCACATTCGCATCCATCACAGGGCCACAGCAGAGAATAAACTGTTGCAGATTTGCCTCCCTGGGAATTGACTGGACAGGAAGGTTTCCATGACATTATCCCTGCCTTAATTTCAGTTCATGGAGCCCACTGCTGCCCAAAGGGCCTGTTCTGGCTGAAGTATCAGCAACAGGGCAGCCAGCAGAGCTCCAACACATGCACTCCTCTCTAGGAATCAGACAGGAGCCTTATGTGTGTCTGGGCTCTGGGGTTTTCTTGGGAAGGTGGGGTGCAAGGGAAACATCTTTTTTCCTGGAAAAAGAGCTGACAAGGGGTAAGGAATTTGCAGCGCCATGCCATGGGCTTTTGCAGGGCCACTTCTTGGTGTGGCTCCTACAGCCAGCTAACTGAAGGTGAGGAACCAGAGGAGGGGCTTGAGCAATCCTGGGGGTCTGGCCAGGGCAGGGGAGAGAAATGTGGGTGTGTAAGTGGTGGGGATGATGCTGGAAGACCCTCTTCAGGGCAGGTAGATATGTGAGAGATAAGAAGGTGCCGTGTGTCAGCCCAGCCAAAGGGCAGTGGGATGGTGAGGCTGAGAGGCAGCGGGTGACACCCACTCCTGCATCCAACGTGGGCTAGTACCAAGGATCTGGTCCTCCAAGGGCTTTCCTCTGAGAGCTTCTGCTTGCCTTCAGCATCCTGCCAGGGGCATCCTGTGCTGCCCACAGCACTGACACACACCATTTGTTACAGGAGAGAAAGACAAGGTCCCTGCTACTCTGTCCCCGCACTCACGGGGTGTGAGAGCAAAACAATGGGCCTTTCTCCTCTGACTTTGGGAAGCTGCCATGAAGAGCCCAGGCCTGTTGTGTAAAAGCATGAAGACAAGGGGAGCTGCAGGCCCTCCACTCATCCACAAAGAAAACATGGGGTGTCATCCAAAAATAGGGCACATGGAAAGGGGGCCCTTCTGCCAAGCTGACTTCATGTGCCTTCTCCCAGGCTTTGGAGGATACATGGCCCAGAGGTGGTGGGAGATCTCCCTGCAGCCCCTCCAGACCCCTGCTCTACCTAGGGGAGGGACAGTGCTGGCGCTCCTCAACATCACCTCTTCTTGTTCCAGCTGGCATCAGGAGCCCCTTCTTGTTGCCCAGCTCTGTTTGAAAGGCTAGAATGCTGTGAAAGGCAGAGTTTTTCATAGGTAAATGGCTTTGGATGCAAAATCAGGAAGGATTTTAATAATGTCAACCAAGTTTAGCTCCTGCTCAGATGCTGGATCCTGCTGCAAGCTTGTGGACATCCCCATCCCTGAGCTCATAGGGCACTTGCTCCCATTTATATCACAGTACTCTGTCCAGGGCATCCTGTCTGGTTCCTCTGCTCCAAGCTGGATGCACAGGCTCAAGCTCAAGCTCCTCAGGCTCCAAGGAGGCTTGGTTTGGAATCCCCAAACCAATAGGGACACTCAAAACAGCCAGTTTTGAGGGAGAGGAGGATCATGGCATCAGGACTTGCATGGTTGAGCAGCCCTGAGGATTGGTGCCTGTCAATTCACCACCTTCCTTAGAGAAAGGTAGGATTATCATTTATGAAGGAGAGTGTGAAACGCCAGGGTTTCTGTAGATTTCCTGGAGAAGATGAGCAGAGACCTGGACTAGCAGGAGGATTTACATCCCAGCTCAAATCCCCGTTTCTCTGGCTCTGAGTGAGACCTAAACATATAAATGCCCTAAGTCACAGGCTTTACTTTGGGAGGAACATGTCACCTGTCTTGGTGTTGGGACAAGCCTGTGCATGCAGTGGGGCACCTGGAGAGGATGGAGAAGGTGCTGCCTCCAAGCACCCCAGAAAGGCAACCCAGTGCTGGGGTAAACCGTCTCGTCTAAGAGCAAGGGCTGGGAAGTTTTTTAACCCTTGCTGGCTGTGGGTGTCCACGTCCATATGCAGGCTCTCTGGGAAAACTCCCTGACCACTGTGTGTTTGCCACATCTGACTCGGTGCCCCTCCAGATGCTGGCAACCCTCACTTAGCTCTTGTGTCAAGAGGTGATGGGCCAGGGTCGCACCCTGATTATGTTGATGGGTTCATGGTACCTCTGTGGCAAGTTCCTTACAAGTGTGTATAGACAGTGTATGGGAGCTCCCAGTCCCTGCATGGCTAAGGAGCATCAGAACAGTGGTTTTGGAGGACGAGGGGTGTCCAGGCAGGAGCCTAGCAGAGAGCCTGGTGCCAGTCTCCAAGGTCATTGTCCTCTGTTGGGACACAGAACGTGCTGGTGCTATCCACAAGGCACGACCCCAGACCTTCCCCAACAGATGCCTCTCTTGGGAGGAACCTGCCAATTCCTGCTTGCCTGCAGGGAAGCTGTGCTAATGTCACCCCAGCCATACTGATGTCACTCCAGCCTGTTGTCATAGGAACAGCCTCGGCCACTATCCTAGCTACATGCCAAGAGGAACACCCAGGCAGAGCTGGTGGTGTTCGTGGCTGCTGTTTGGAGTGGTGGGTCTGCACAGACATCCAGCTCCTTCCCATCCTTCTGCCCATCCCAGGGTGGGACACCCTGCCAGCTCCCAGTGACATTTCTGATGCCCTCACTTCTGCTGGCAGGTGGCATGATCAGCTTTGACGTGTTCCCAGAGGGCTGGGACAAGCGCTACTGCCTCAATGTGCTCGACGACGAGAGATTTGACACCATCCACTTCTTTGGGAATGAGACGACCCCTGTGAGTATTCCCCACTCACCCCACACGTGGCCGCTTTCTCTCCTGTGTGGACTGCTCTATCACGGGTCCCATGGCTTTGGTTCTATTGGCACCAATACAGACCTTTAGTGTGAGGAAGGAAGATGCTATCCTGTTGTGTGGGTTTGTGATGGTCTCTGTGATGGCAGCAGGCCTACTGGGTCATAGGGAAATCATCTCAGATTCACTGTGCTGGGAAGCAGGTCTGCCTCAGCCTTGCTTTCCTTACCCCAGCACCCTCAGTAGGGTGGCAGCCACTCCTGCAGCCTGAACAACCGCAAACACAAGCCCCCAGCACTCAGGAGAGGATTTCTCAACAGCAGGAACAGCGTCACCCTCCCTTTAGAGTAGTGGAAGATGATGCTTCCTTGCTGCTGGAGACCAGACTAATCATCCACTCAGCTCTTTCCAGCCGGCAACCTCTGCTCCCCAAATGTGCCCACCCCTTCACAGGGGTAACCTTCTATTAACCCCTCCACAGGCAGGGCAGGGGTTAACCCCAGGCTCCTGGACAAGCTTTGCTGGTCTGGGACCTTCCCCATCCTATCTATTCTCCTCCTCTGGCATTAAAGAGGGGAGGCAAGAGGGAGGGAGCAGAATTCCCAGCCCTTGGGGCCAGCAAAGCCTTGACTGCCCCTTCCCACCCCTGCCTGCCCAGCTGCTGGCTCCCACCCCAGCTCCGCACGGGAGAGGGCAAAGTGCAGATTCGCGGATGAGGTGGTTCTGGCAAGACCCTGCTAATGTTGTCCCTGTTTTCTATTCCCCTGCAGGGAGGGAATGATTACGAAATCTATGATGATCCCCGCACTGTGGGACACAGTGTCCAGTCCCCCCAAGACACGGTCCAGCGATGCCGCGAAATCTTCTTTCCAGAAAGAGCTAACGAGTGCTGACTGCCAGGTCCTTGCAGCCCTGTCCCGGTCCCACCCTCTCCCCCCACCAGGAAAAGCACCTTGATTTGAGGAATCTGCTCAGGGTAGACCAAAAAAACACTTTACAGAGCTGGTGAGGATGTAACACGAGGTTGGGTGGGTGGCAGGAGGAGCCTTAGCTGAGCAGCCCTTTGGCACTCCCCATCTGTGGCTAGAGGTCGTAGCATCAGACCCTCCTTGCCTTCAGAGAAACTTCTCTCTTGACAGTTCAGCTGTGGTGGGAGGTGATGCAGATGCTTTTGTGGTTGGAAAGCATTTGAAAGGGCCAGTCGAGAGCGTGTATGTGTCCTCCCCGTGCTCCCTCTCCTCTCCTTTTCCACTCTGTTTCTCTTAACAGTTCTGCATGAGGGAATATGCTTCTCATCTTTCTCTCTCCCTTGCACCTTGGCCCAGGAGGCCAGGGCTGCTGAGGCAGCTGAGGCTGCTGAGGCTGCAGACATTCACAGGAGCTGCTCCAAGGCAAGAAGCCAGGAAGGCTGTTTGCTCCAAGCCTTGGTAGGAAGGAATAGTTGGGATCCCAGCTTGTTGCACCATTGTGCATTCTAATGGAGAGGTCACCATGTCCTTGCCCTTGATGCCACACTGTGCCAGTCCCTCCCTACAGGTGACCTGGGAACAATAGTTTTGAAATGACTGGGCTGCTGCTCTGAGCTTTGCTCGGGTGCATGAAGAAACCAGTTCTTCTCTTTAGCTTAAAAAACCCCCCTAGTGTTTATTTTCTATATTATTATTCTCTACGTTCAAGTCAGACCTTGCCTGGCATGGCTGGAGGATGCTGGCACCTGGTGTGTGCAGAGCATGCTCTGGAACAGTTTGGGTTCAGAAGGCTTTCCAATGGCCTTCCCAATCCTGTGTCCATTAGGTGTCACAGACCACAGAATCACAGAATTGTTAGGGTTGTAAGGGACCTCTGCAAATCATCTAGTCCAACCCCCTGCTAAGGCAGGGTCACCTAGAGCGGGTTACACAGGAATGCATCCAGGTGGGTTTTGAATGTCTCCAGAGCGGGAGACTCCATGACCTCCCTGGGCAGCCTGTTCCACTGCTCTGCCACCCTCTACATAAAGATGTTCTTCCTCATGTTGAGGTGAAACTTCTTATGTTTTAGTTTATGGCCGTTGCTCATTGTCCTGTCGCTGGGCACCACTGATAAGAGTCTGGCACCATCCTCTTGGCACCTGCCTTTGAGGTATTTATATACATTAATGAGATCCCCTCTTAGTCTTCTCTAGACTAAACAGGCCCAGCTCCTGCAGTCTGTCCTCGTCATAAAGATGTGTCTGTGTAAAACCTTACCCAGGGCATTCATAACAGACCAAGTCCCCTTGCTTCCCAGAGCTCAGCTTTCCATCCTGCTGCCAGAGAGATTTTCAGAGAGGGCCAACACAGGCCAGACGTGGTTCATAGTGCCAATGGAGGCACCCCCCAAGCAGTGCCCTCCAAGCTTGCTTTTCCACCCTGTCCCATCCCACACAGTTTACATGGTCATCTTTAGGGAGACAGGGTGTCTAGTGCAACTGTTGCCTGTCCTGTTCCTCTCCCTGGATCTTTGTGGGTTGCAAACCCACATCTCTCCCTTGACCTTCTCCCTCCTTTTATTCCCAACAGTTACGTTGGGGTGTGTGGCCACACTAGTAACACTAGTCACAATTTAGTGCTCAAAAGGAGCTCAGGGAGATGTCCTACTTGTAGCTTCTCCGGGCACGCAATCTGGCGTTTGTGGACCTGGAGAGTGCTGGAGGTTCCTGCAGACCCCCCACCATTGCTCCCCAGGAGCCTTTCTCACCCCATCCCTGGTGGTATGGCACTGCCCAGTCTCTTGATCCTATTTTTTCTCCCCTTTTTCTCCTCTTCCTGCTTTCCTCACCATTGCTCTTCATCTCCCACTAGCAGCTGGACTGCAGAGAGAAGTTTCGCAGCTGCCTACTGCCACCTAAGCAAGGCACCACCACCTTCCTCAGGTGAGATACACTGGTGCTTTCAGACCCAGGGCAGGGCTCCCCCATTGCCATGGGCGGAGTTCCAAGTGCCTGCCTGGCCACAGGAGCAAGGATACTGTATGATCAGTGCTGGTGGGGTGCTGTCTCCTCCACTTAATTGCACATCTTAACTACAACACATCAGATCTCTGATGCATCACATTTGCATGAATGCAGCTGTCTGCCTGGCATCTGGAAATCCCCAACAAATGCACACATTCCTCCTTCTACCCAGAGAAGATTTCTGTGTGGGAAAAGAGGACCTGTTGGAGAAGCCTGAATGCAGGGTACCCATTTCATAGGTCACAGATTTTGGCCCTTCACTGCAACCTTCATGGAGGAATTGTGTGTTTTGTGGTTCCTCCTTCTGTGTTTCACTGTGGATCAGGTTACGTGTGAGTCTTGGGGAGTTTATTTTTCCCATAAGTCTATTCAAAGCCAGCTGGACCTCTAGTGAGTTTAGTGAAGAGTAGGGTCTAGCCCTGACAGCATGGGGCACCATGGGGGCTGAAATGAAGGGAAAGGCAGGCTCTGTCCAAGGCTGCTCCTGGTGGGAGTATGTCCCTTGCTCAGGATGGGATGAGTGGCAGGTTGAGCAGAGCAGAGACAGAGATGACCTTTGAGGCACAGGCCATTGCTTTCTCAGCTCAGGAGCTCATTGTGCATGGGTGGGATCAAGTTCAGGAACCGTCTCCATTCCTCTCTTACACCAAGCTTGGGCTAGTCTCCCACCTGGAGACCCAAGAGGCCAAGAGGGATGAGGAGGAGGATGGCGGCATCAAAAGTAGCTGGGGCAGCTGCAGGGTGTCAGAGCCACAGAATGGTTGAGGTTGAAGGGACCTCTGGAGATTCCTGGTCCCACACGCCTGCTCAAGCAGGACCACTGGGAGCCCTGGCTGCCTGTGCTGTGTTTTTGCAGGCAGGGATGATACAGGGATGGGAGCCCTACGCCTAGGGGATGTCTCATGCCTGTCACTGAGACCCCTTTGATGCTCCTGTCTTTGATGCTCTCTGGGTGGCCACAGAGTAAGTGGGGGTTTCTCCCTGTGCATGAGGGTGAGCAGGTGTGGCAGGCCCCATGCCCGGGACTGTCTTGCTACGTGTCTCCATATCCATGCAAGATGGGTGGCTCCTGTCTGGCTGATACCAACTGTTAAATAAGAAATATATTTAAATACATAGATAAGTATATTAAAAAAATTAAAATCAATCCTATTAAAGCCACAACACACAGCAGTTGGAGGCAGCATGTGCTTTGTGCTGGGCTGTGCGGGGGTGAAAGGCAGCCAGATAACAGGCAGCCACACTTATAAATGCCCACAGCAGTGAGGAACCAGCCTCAGTCCTGGTCACCCCTCATGGTGGGCAGCAGCTTCTCGTCCCAGGCTCACAATGTGCTCCCTGTGAGCAAAGGCTGGAGCCCTCCCAGCACCCGGGACATACTGTGCGGAGGTGGGTGAATCTGTTCTGACGTCTGGATTAATCCCTGGGTGCTCCAGGTCCTTTACCTGAGAGAATTACCAGCATCCCCACTGTGATACAAACACACAGGACAAAAAGCCGGGATGGGCAAGGCTCATGGGAAAGTCACTTTTAATGGTTTATTGCCAATGTTACAAAGGTTGACACATGGTCAGACAGGCGGGAACCACACTGGAGTTGTAAAACCAACAACAACAAGTCTAGGGTTTTAGTTTATTTAAAAAAAAAAAAATAGAGAAACTAAAAATCAGTTTGCCTTGGCCAAGCTGACTGCATGTCCTGGGTATGCCTGGAGCCTGAGCCAGGGTTGCCACAGCCCCTGGAAGAGCCAGGCTTTGAGTTGGCAGTGAGACAGGCCAGAGGGTCCCAGGGCAGTCCCCACACCAGCCTGGTCCGGGGCAGCATGTGGTGGTCTTCCTGAATCCACAAGGTCCAGCTGACCTGCATGGCACCAGCCCTGCCCCGCTCCTCTCCCTACTTATCCCTCTCAGCAACAGCGGTGGCAGAAAAGGTGGCAAACACCCCCATGCTGGTCCATGCTGAGGACCAGCCGGCACCTCCTGCTGAGCAGGTGCCCAGGAGCTGGCTGTCACTTCCTGCCCTGCTCAGAGGGTCTGCTGGCACCCCACTGTTCCCAACCCTGCTTTGAAATAAATCCTTTAAGATGCTGATAATTCCCAGAGCATCAGCACAGGTGCTGTTTCCCTGGGGTCAGCTCAGGACCAGCCCAGTGCACACTGTCCCTGTCCCTCCCTGGAGCTGTGGGAGCCCACCTGGCCAGGGTATGGCGGAGAAGACCAAAAACTAAGTTTGTGCTTTGTTTACGAGACCCTGCCTACACTGAGGGGCTGGGGAGGAGGGGGCTGTGCTCACCCCACAGCTGAGGCTACTCAGACCCCTCAGCCCCTCACCACCCCAGCAAGCTACAGACATGCACACACACACACACGCGCGCACGCATGGGAAGAGGGGTCCCCAGGGGGCTAGGGGGGCAAGAGGAGGAGGAGAAAGCGGCCATCTCCCCAAAACCATGTCAGCACCGAGCCAAGAAAAGTGCGCTACTGGCCCGGCAGTGGTGGGGAGCACAGAGGTGCCAAGTGCCCCCCTGCCCCATGCCCAGGTGCAGTCCCCCAGGCACAGCACCAAGTGCCCCCAGTGCCCTGCCAGCAGCTGTTAGTCTTGCAAAACTAAATCTTTGCTTCCTGTAAGTCACTCACCTCCTTGTGGTACCGCTGACCTGAGATCTTGTGATGGAAGAATGTGGCTCAGGTGGGTGCTGTGAGCTGCCAGTGATGGGGATGGGTCTCAGCCACCCAGATCCTGCACAGTGATACATCATCCCACACCACCCTGTTTTGCCCCTTCCCCAGGGCACGTCCCACTGTGAACCGAGTGGGATGCCCATCTTGCCAGAGTGGGATCCAGGAGGATGAGCCTCCCCATGCCCCCTCCTGCTCTCAGCACCTGCTTCAGCCCAGGGCAGCTGAAGGGCTGGGGGGCTTTGTTCCCCATGACCTCGGGGGGCAAGGAATAGGGGACATGGGGCTCGGTGCTGCCCCCAGAGCTGGGGGTGGCCAGGGAGGGCTCTGCTTCCCCTGTCCCCTTCGACAGACACTTACAAACACACACAGAGAAAGGAAATCGTAACCTTATAAAAGACACTGAACGCAAACGCCTGCATGTTCGGGGGCAGCCCCGGCCCCACCACCGCCTCGGCTCCCCCTACGCCCCCTGCGAGCGGCCGGGCAGGCTTGCTCCGTGGGGCTGAGTGGCCGGCAGCCCCCTGGGCGCCTAGGAGCCGATGATCTGGCCAGACCATGTCTCGTGCTTCGTGTGCGGCGCCAGGTTAGTGAGGACCACCTCCACCGCCTGGAACTTCTGGTTCTTGGGAGGGATAGGGCAGACTTTGTACGTCACCTCATCCCCCTCCACCGGGACGTACTCCCCCTCGATGCTGTGGGAGAGGAAAGGAGAGATAGTGGGGCTGCAGCCAAGATACAGACCCCTGCCCCAGACTGCCCAGAACCAAGGAAGGCACCCGACCCACCAGCTGTGCCTGGGGAAAGAAAACCCACAGGTGATGAGGGGTAGAGGGCAGGAAGAGCCCCATTCCCAACCAGAGAGATCCACATCCCAGCCCACAAGTCTCCATCTCCATGCTGGCCTGGCTCCCCTGGGATGTTCTGGCCCCACACAACCCCGGGACTTACTCAGACACATGCACGAAAATGTCCTCTGTGCCATTCTCAGGGGTGATAAACCCGTGGCCCTGGGAGCGAGAGAACTGCTTGCAGACGCCTTTGAAGATGGGACCGGCGGAGGCACGCGCTGTCCTGCAGGAGGAAAGGGAAGGAGATTTTTCACTGGTGGCACTCACACGGGGGCAGCACGGGGAGAGGTTTGCTATGAACACATGATGGCCCCTGGGAAAGTGCATGGCACCCACCCGCAGCACCCCTGGCAGGTGTGTGCTGCAATGCTGGGCACTGCTTTGGCAAAGTGCACCAGTG